GATTTGCTCTAGAAAGAATCGATTTTAGTTCGCTACTGAAACTTTCTACATCTATTTGTCTATTTATTTATTTATTTATACATGTATACACAATTTTATCGCAAGAATATGTCTATATATAATCGCACATTAATACAATTTTGAAATAATTTGTTTTTAAAATTTATTTTTATCATCTCTTATATAAGAAACTATCTATTGCGATATATTTTATTATAAAGGTATTTCTTTCTCAACAAAGATGCTTTTATTCTTTAAATATTTCTATGTTTATTGCATGACGATCTCCGACATCTTGCATGACGATGTCCGACAATAAGTTCTCCATATCTTGAATGTAATTACTTCTGTCCATTGCGACTACTGTGTTGCTCTTATCTGCTCTAGTATAGATGATAGAGGAATGATGTTGTATAAACGAATTGGTAAATTCAAGAGCGTTATTAATTTCTAAGTGGTGTATTGAATTTGTAAGTTTGGAATCTCTCAATTGCTTTCGTCTCTCCCCATTTTAGCTGATATTGTCATGCAAGACCTCAAACAGAACATCATAAATTCTATGCCTTTCCAACTTCCTTTACAGAACATCATCAATTCTATGCCTTTCCAACTTCCTTTCTATGTTCGATATGTAGACGATATAGCTCTTATGGTTTCTGGTGACACGTTTGACTTAGTTTTTCATCTTTTTAATTCCTACCATCCTCGTCTCCAATTCACCATAGAGATTGGTTATAACAAACTCAATTTTCTGGACATTACTATAATTAAGAGAAATAATTTTTTAATACATGACTGGTATCATAAACCGACCTTTTCTGGCAGATACCTTAATTTCTATTCCAACCATCCAATTAACCAGAAAAAAGGCACAGTGATAGGTCTTATTGATAGAGCCTTCTTTTTATCCCATCCTGACTTTCATAATAAAAACTTCGACATAATTAACATTCTTCTTGACAATAATTATCCTCTTGACTTCATTTATAATATTTTTAAACAAAGACTAAAATATGATTTTTTAAAGAATAATGACTTAAAGACCTTCTTGACTAATAATTTCTCCTTGACAAAAAACCTCCTTGTTGGTTTGTGATGCCTTATATACATAATTTCTCTAGAAAATTTTTGTCAACTTTTTCCAAAGAGACTGACACACACCTTGCTTTCTAAAGTCTTAATAAATTGTCCAGGTTTATTAAAGTACAAAAGGATTCTTTACCTCCCCTTTCCTGTCCGTTTGTTGTTTAAAAAATAAATTGCAATAATTGTGAAGCATCCTATGTAGGCCAGACTGTTAGGGTTTTGCAGTCCAGAATTAATGAACACAAAAATATCATTAAACGTAACACTACACAAACCTCTGTTATCACAGATCATAGAATTAATTATTCTCACGATTTCTCGTGGGATAATGTCAAAATTTTGGATTGTGAAAAACACCATCATAAGCGACTAATTTCTGAAACACTATACATTAAGAAACAAACATACGGTCTCAATTTAAACAGTAACACTGAGAATCTAGACAAATCATATTTACCATTTGTCGTTAATACAGCTTAAACTTTCCATTGCGCATGCTTCGACCTCTGAATTCGCTGTTCATCTTGATGTATTTTTTAAATTTTCAATCAGTAATTGACAGCTCAAGTGTTAACATGCGTCCATCTCGTTACACGACGACTTTAATAACAGTACAATACTGAAAGTTTATATTAATTTTACAATGCGTTTTTTGTATTTAAAAAATTTTTTTATATTTTTTGTTCTTTNAAATCTATTGTTTTTACATTCAATTTGTAGAAAGATTTTGATAAAGACCTAAACCGTTGGTCAAAACGTAAATCAGATTGTGTATACATTACACCTTAAAATAAAAATCACCTTTACGTGCTTACACAACGACATCCGTGTTTTGCTTCAACTGCCTCTCATCTGGTTTTTTAAAATCTTTGGAGCTTTGTCTTTTCTTTAATTTATAATAATAGAAAAATACAAAATAATACTAACAAGAGAACCTCGCAAAGTGAAAAATTCTGATTTTGATGAAACTGCACACATGTAGGGGAGATTAATAGATGAATGTTGACTTATTCCGTTGCAGCTCAAAAACGGTTTTAAGGGATAAAGTCACCCCTTATACATACACCGACGTTTTACTTTTTCAATTTATCTCGACAATTATAGAAGATATCAAAAATTGTTTCATACAAAAGTTTTATTAATAAATGTCCTCTATTTAATTATAGTAACATATTGAAAAACAATTTATTTAAACAAACAATGTTTTTAGAAATGTATAAAAAAAATTTTTTTTGAACAATGTTATTAATGGAAATAAATAGAAGTAATTTTACCATAAAACGTTTGTATAAAACATTTTTTAATATTCTCAGTAGTTTTCGAGATACATCAAGAAAATCGCAAAGCCGTTTTACATGAGGAGTGATTTTGCTTTAGAAAGAATCGATTTTAGTTCGCTACTGACAATTTCTACATCTATTTGTCCATTTANTTATTTATTTATACATGTATACACAATGTTATCGCAAGAATATCTTAATATATATATTTCTTGTGTTCGTGTGTATG